CAGTATTTTGCTGTTGCTGGTGTTTGATTTAGTTTGAAAAAAAAACAAAAACATACAAGGCCTTGATTATTGTAACTGAAAAAAGGAAGTACATGGTAGCTTAACACCTGTTGCTAAATTGGAGAAACCAAGTAATGGAAATCACTAAGTAGCTCTCAGCTCCAGCAGCTAACGTCCAGAGTTCCTGCCAGGCAGTCTTACGCACGTCACATAAGGTTCTGACAGCTTTATTGGACAAAATGACAATAAATAGCCATCGAAGTTTGATGCAGTTGTTGATCACTGCCAGTACTCAAATGATTATCTTGGCAGGTGCTGGGGATTCTGACTGTCGACAACTTCCTCTACACCCATTACTCGCTTTTGACCCAGCGACAGACTGCAGCTGGATGTTTACAGATGTATAAAGTGCAAGTTTGAGTGAACACGAAACATTAAATGCTTTAAAGCGCAGAAACTATTCCAAAACACTGCCTGAAAGGGGATTTCTGTTAAATATGTAAAAATGCAAACCCTTCACAACTGCACTCCATTAATCACGGTGCTAAACTGAATTGATTTCCGTCATACCACCGTGAGTCAGAAGACCTTAGACTTAAAAAGACTGATTTAAAGTGGGTGAGCTTCGCATTTCACGTCGTGATTTCAAGCAAAGGTAACACAAACAGGAAGATAAAAAATAAGCAGCATGGGGATGTTTCTATGAGTGTACAGTTACTTAAGCTGATCTATTCCAAGTGTGTTTCTATTGGAAGGCCAAACTTTTTGTTCCATCCTTCAATCAGCTGACGTAAAAGAAAAAGCGGGATTTTAATGTGTCCACAGGCTGATGGTATGACCTTATTGAATCCACTTTTATTCTCTACAGTGATTTGGAAAAGACTCAGGTCACTATGGTAACTGTTGTGCCAAAGTGTCATGATGGGGTGTTTAGCTCATTTAATCTAATCCCAGCTATCCACCATCTGTAACAAACTCATCAAGCAGCTCAGTACTTTGCTCCTTTTCCAGTCCAGCCGCCCAAAGAAAAAGCAACCCATTTATACAATTCTGCAAACGACACATGCGTTACATCTGTATATCAACATTTTTAGATGTGACTACATGTATATGAGCTGACTTTGTCATCATAAGGAGGAAGGGATGGTGGGTGGCATGACCATTGACAAACCATTGACAACAAAACCAGTTGCTTTTTAGGGAGACATCTGCAGCATTTCCAGCCGTGATTTTGGAACCAAAACTGAGCTTTTTAAGCAAAAGCATATTTCTTTGTGTTTTTTGTGACTAAACATAACCACAGTGTTGTTCAAATGTAACAACATGTAAAGTTTCAACATATCTGCTACATAATAATGTAAAAAATGTATGTATCTGTGGTTTGCAGAAATGTGAAATGTGAATTTTTTTCCTTAAATTCACTTTTCAGCTCTTCATGCACTGATTCATATGTAATGTACACTAAATATAAGCACACACACATGGAAACACACAAGCATACCCACCCACAGTGGATGCCTTTCTGAACCTGGGTAGGAGGGAAAACAAAAGGACAGCTGCTGCCGTGGGACTTGGAGTACCCCCCAAAAATCTTGGGTCACACTGTCGAAGGCTTTTTAGCATGTAGCTGAAAGTATCTGTGTGTGTGTGTGTGAATGTCTTTTGCTTTTTTCCATGTATGATAATTGCTGAGTTTTGGCTTGGATATTCAATTAGGCTGAAGTGCAGTGTTTCTAAGAAGCGGTTGGAAAGGGTGGTGAAATGCTTTGTTGGCATCTGCACTTAAGCTATAGATACATTCTTAAACCATCATACAGGCTTGACTATGGTATTTGCTCTTCTGGGAGAGCAATATTCTCCTTTGTGACTCTAATTCTCCAAATAATGTGCACAGATGTACTGTAATGATAGCAGATAGCTGTGCTTGCTTTGCTTTCTGGACTGCTAGCTTACAACCCCTACTCACAGTCAATGGTTAAAGTGTGCCAATGAATGGTGTTCAATTTTTAATTAACTCCAGTTGTATCAATAATTAGTAACTCCAGTCGTATCCTCTTTGTGGCGTCTGGCAGTAATTCAATTACGAGACGAGGCTTGTGAAAGAGGAGGATTTGTGTTATCAGATGTACAGTATTTCTGGAAAAGGTGGAAGTAGGACAGTCAGACACCTGCAGCTACCGCCGCACCACCTGTTCACCTGTTCCTTTCCATCATTTCTGCTGTGACCTACTCAGATTAGATGGCTGTGTTTGCTCCACATGTGCAGGTAAAGCAAACTGCCATGAAATTAAGCTTTATAATGTAGAAACTCAAGCTTATCATCATACCATGTCAACAAATTGAGATGCTGAAATGTTTCATATAAAGATATTTTTTTGAAAATACAAAAACAATTTGCTTCCATGTGTGTGAACTTGCAAAGACACCATAAGACAAATAAATCTCCAAATTTCAATGGAAACAAATCTTTCAATGCGCAGCAGCAGTCTTAAACAGTAAAACGAAAAAGTTTGATCTGTCCTACATTTTCCTAGTTACAAATGGATCCGTGTTGTGAGTCATGCTCTGTCCCTTTGAGACAGGTGTTCTGCATGTCCCATATTCCTAATTACATAATCATATCCCTAAACACGCACACATACAGACCGACTGCGCTTCCTTCCTCCCTCTTGTGAACCCTCTGGGTTTCACTATGTGGAGCACCAAATGAGATCACGTCTCATGTCGAGGGGATAAGCCTCAGACAACAGAGCGAGAGCAAGACAATTGATGCTGAGGGAGTGTCCCAATACATGCATGTATACAGGGCTGTGTAGAGACTAGTACGAGAATAATACAGTACTAAACTGTATCATCCGTAATGTGTGTAGGTTGTGTATGTGCAGGTGTTGGGGGAAAGTGTACATATCAGATTTACATCAGTCCCAACTGAATTAGCAAAATTAGCATAGCTTTGAATTTAATTTAATTTAATTTAATTTTATTTTATTTTATTTCGTTATTCATTTATTTATATATTTTTTATTTGGGGGGTTTTGGGAGTAATGTTGGCCAAAACCAAAACCTAAGTTTATCCTACTTTGAAATAATATCTGCTATCTCTCAGATGATAGATACGTAGGACATATCATATCCTACGCAGGAGATAAACACTGCCACTGCAAAACAGTTTTTTTTACCTTGCTTCTCAGGCCCTCTGGTCTAATCCTGTCTTTACTACAACCGCCCATAACAGCTAAAAAGAGGACAACCATCTGACACTTTGCCCAACTGTTTAGCCAAGAAAAATCAACCATGATTGGGATGCTTGATGTTCTGTGGCTTACCACAAAGTTGACTAAGTGGTCCTTTGCGCACACAGTCAGGTACAGATGTGCAATAAAATCGAATCAAATTGATTACTGACCACTGCTGAGGGTGGAGCAATTAAAACTTAATGCATCCATAATGATTTGTGGGTGCATTCACACCTGTTTTTCAGCTATTTACTTCAGGCCTAATCATGCACATTTTGATGCAGCTTTTTCTTTATATCCATCTGTTGTATCAATCTGTCAAACACATTAACAAATGCATCTCTTTTCCTCTGCATCTGCCTAATAAGAGGAGACAGGTAACCCAGCAGGTGCCTGAAGTCATTAGATCTACATGATAACGTGCCACTTCACATATGCTTTAGGTATTACCGTTTTCTGTAGTAATATGTAGTTTAAAAAAAAGGAGGATGGACCTGATTTCTCTGCCGGCACCTCCGGGGGGATCGTGCACCGGAATAGACTGGAATGAGTTCAATTCTCTGTCGGAATTAGAAAGAAGTCTGAATTTGGAGCACGAGGAAGAAATCTGGCCTGTTCCTCAGAGAAACAGAGAGAGGTTTTCTTTGTTGTTTTCATGGAATGATGATGGAAATCGAGAGAATGTAAAACACAAGGAGATGTGGGATGAAAGACGTAAGATGAGAGAGTACTGTGAGTCGATATTCAAACTGTGTAATATCATAGACAGCGTGCCATTAGTGGGTTCAGAATCCATCTTGATAGCTTTGGCTTATATGTCTGTACAAGAGCCCGTGAGCCTACATCTAACTAAGGACATGGATGTCTTTGAGGTGTTTGAGTGTATACATCTGCACATGCACATGTATGTCTCAGGCCATGTGTGCATTTCAGTGTGCATGTTTGTGTAATGTGTGTGCAATTGTAAGTATGTTTTTCCCAGCTGCTGAGCCGGCAAGAGGACAATGTCTGTCATGATGCAACAGGCAGCTAATCCTCTCCTTATGTAAACGCTTGACTGCTATTCAAATGACATGCAGATGGGATAGAGAGCTTAGGTTTTGGCAGGATAGTGTCATAACAAGGAATGTCTGTGGAGACAATGTGCTGTCAACATTTGGGTGATTAATGCTGCACTTTGTGTTTAAAAAAAGATATCCTCCCCGGAGGACTGAGGGGAGATTTGCAGGTGCGTGCGCGCAGGTATCGGCCAAAGCTTGATGACCTCATAGCCTTAAGAGGTGGGGGATAGAGGGGGGGGATGACTAAGTGCAGATGCAGTGGGCTAAAAGGGGATCTGTTTGGGCGATGCAGCATGCGTATATTAACACGATGAGAAAGAACACCAGCTGAAGAAAAAATAAAAAATGTGGAACAAGCCCCGAGGAAATTTGAAATTGATTTTGGGATGCCTGCAGGTTCCTTGAATAGAATTATTCTGAGACGATGAAATGTTATAGGAATTTGGTGGAGCTAGAATTCATTTACCATTCATTTAGATTCATGATTCAAGATTGTTTATTCATTCATTCTTCAGTACATTTGTGTAAAAAGTGCAGGCAGTAGAGGCAAAGTGCAGGCATCATAATATATATGTATAACAGTGCAATACAAATAATTTAAACGGGAAGCAATAAAAAAATTGTCTCTTCCATTATGCATCATATCTATCATACTACATTGCTCTTCTTTTCTCATGTTTCTCTTTTGTATTCCCCCCAACAGATTCTCCATTATTCCAAGGATCTATCCTTTTGAGTGAGTCTGAAGCTGAAGCCAAAGGAGGGACTATGAAGACAAGCTGTGTCACCCCACATTGCAGTCCAACAAGATATGATATAACATGGGTCCCCTGCTAATCACCATGATGACCAAAACGCTGTGACTGGCATTGTGAAGCCTTCACCCCTTTTTCAGCACCCAACCCAGACCCTTCTCCTCCTTGGAAATCCTGTCTAGCAACATTTGTTGCTTCCCTTTCTCCTGCAAACACAACCTCCTCCTCTCCTGCCTGCACCCACGTTTTTCACCTTAATAATTCTAGCTTCCCCTTTTTCTTTTATTTCTTTTCATCGGCATCATGCAGGGTGCCTCTACCACCTCCACTCTCCTTTTTCTTATGCTTCCCACCCTCCTATTCTTCTCTCACTTTCCCTGCACGGTGAATGGGGACTGCTGGCTCATTGAGGGCGACAAAGGCTATGTGTGGCTGGCTATCTGCAGTCAGAACCAGCCACCGTACGAAACTATCCCCCAGCATATCAACAACACCGTCCATGACTTGAGATTGAATGAGAACAAGCTGAAAGCTGTGCTTTTCAGCTCCATGTATCGCTTCACCAACCTTACTGACCTCAACCTCACCAAGAATGAAATCAGCTACATTGAGGATGGAGCCTTTGCAGGACAAGCCAACCTACAGGTGAAGGGGGGATGGGTGATAAAGGCTTTGAGCTTAACACTAGTGTAGTATAGTTCATAAAGCATTAGACCTAAAACTTGGATTTTTATTTGGTGACAAGTTAATAAGATTTGGATTTATTGGGAAAAGCTACCTCTAAAAAAATGTTTTTATTTTAACACATCATTAAACTACATTTTCAAAATCTGCTTGGGCAGTGACTTGTGGCGTCAGACACTGACGAAAAAAGGCAACCTTTTACGTCAGCATGATACGCAGTCGGTCGCCTTTATAGTTTATAGTCCCCCTCAGCGGGGTTAAGGGGAAATACAGCAGGACAAAAAGATAAGGTGGCGAGTGGTGGATGGGTCCAACAAACACCGACTTTCACCCAGTAGAGTGATGTTTGCGTCCCGTAAGATCATAAAGCCAAACCTTGTTATTTTTTCCTAAGACCAACCACATCCTAAAGTTGTTGGAAGAGAAAAAAACATCAATTCGCGTTGTCGTACTGATGTAGTGCATTTATTTTTAAAGAGACTGTATGTAAACGGTAAATTTCCTGTGAAAACGGAAGTGTATTCTGAAAGAAGGCAATGCATGTGTAGCGGGTTGTACTCTCATGCGTTGTGTATAGACGACATGGACAATCACTGACGACTCCGACGTATTTTTATTCGGTCACAGCTGGTAGACAAATTGAATAACATAGGTCAGTTAGCTCCCACAGCCCAGCAAGACACAGGTGACACATGCTACGATGCTCTGCAGACTGTTCATGCTAACTAACGCATGCTAACCAAAGTTACAACAACAATAAAAATACTGTTACCTGGTAGACAAATCGAATAACATAGGTCAGTTAGCTCCCACAGCCCAGCAAGACACAGGTGACACTGCAATAAAATGACACATAAAATAAAACACACTGCCTGTAAAACCCGTTAAAATAAATATTACGGAACTCGGTAAAACTCGACCTACCATGCTACGATGCTCTGCAGACTGTTGTTTACAACAGGGTGCACCCGTGAAGCCTGCAGGGGCCTGTCAATGTGGCATTCAATTACTGTCAGACAATACGAATTTGCAGCTCCCCATCACAATACGAAAACAACACACATTGTACAGGCAGGCGAAATATTTATAAATCAAAAGCAGTGTACCTCCAAGGATGACCAACATAGTTATTAAAGGCAAGTGAGATCATTAAAACATTAACTCCGTTACACATGTTACAGGCAGAACTTGACACAGTGTCCCAGAACATCAACAACCAACGCACCCAGGGTACGTAAGTACTTACGTACTTACTACACGTTGTATCTGGACGTAGACGGTCCATGACCAAACGTCGATATGTGACGAGTTCGGAGTGAGAATGTGATTTTCGTGAAAATTCTCTATTTTAATTTCAAAATTTATGGCAGGGAAAATTGTTGCTGGATGCATGAAACATGCATCACAGGGACACCATAAGTCATTAAATAGTATTACGAATGATGGTAACTGTGTTTCCTTATAATTTTCCTCATTTGAAGGCATTAACAAACAACCTCAAAATGGGGGAGTGTGTGGTAGGAATCACTGAAAAAAAGTACTTAGTGTTCTCGGAGATGTAGAAGTACTGTACATCTACATTGGGTATGATAATATTTTATTCAACAACGTGATGGACGAAATGTGCAGCAATGTTTAAAAACAGGGTCCACTGGATGAGTAACTAGTGTTTTGTCGTTTGCAAAAGATTCGTTCAAAAGAATGAGTCTTTTTGGTGAATGAACTGAACTGGATTACCTCCTAAAACAATCTGTTCATTTTTCGGTTCAGTTGAGCTCTCAGTTGGTTGTGAGTGAACCTGCAGAGACTCACTGAGTGATTCGTTCGCAGTGAGTGATTTAAAATGTGAGGTCTGGGTGATAGCAGTCACTGAGTCATTGAAGCCCACCCTGTCATACGTCTTGAAGTCTCAAAGTAGGGAGTAGGCTTTCAATTTGCAAATGACTTCTTTATTTAACTAAATTCTCCGTTAGTTCACGTTGGCAAGATGAACTAAATGTTAAGCCATGTTTCAGTGAGTGGGACTAAACACACTGAGAACTTCGGTTGAATGAATCTATTTTTAGACAAATCTTTTTAAACACAAATAAGAGTGGTTCAGTTCATTGAAAAGAACTGCTTTGCCCATCACTACAAGCAACACAATGAGACAATCACACAGGTTGTCAACAAACCCCAATTTTACCATATTGCGTAAACCACCTACAGTGTAAGCACTGAGAGGACAATCTGTTGAAATTATACTTTGCATTGAAGCATGTGCAGAATTTATCAATGGAAAATTTTAACACAAAGCTGAATAAACATTTTGGACCACTTGTGTTGCTTGCCCTCCTGAACTCTGTCATAGAAAATGTTACAGCATGACTGAATCTCAGTAATTGAGTTGAATTCACATTTTATTATAATGACTAAAGAAATGACTGAAATTTGGCCCACAATGTAAAAACTATTTAAAATGCCCAAATGCTACTTTTGTGTTTTCCTCAGGTTCTTCAGCTCGGCTACAACAAGATGACGAACCTAACTGAGGGTATGTTGAGAGGGCTCGGCCGCATGCAATGCCTCTTCCTCCAGCACAACCTCATTGAGGTTATAGCCAGCAATGCATTCTGGGAGTGCCCCAGCCTCAGCAGCATTGACCTGTCATCCAACAGACTTGCCCGCATTGACCCAGCCACATTCACGGTTCTTGCTCGACTGATGGTGTGTGAACTGGCAGCAAATCCATTCCACTGTGGTTGTGATCTGTACAGCTTCCTAATCTGGTTGGAGTCCTTCAACAATGTGACGCACACCTATGACCGCCTCCAGTGTGAGACGCCCCGGGAGATGTTTGGCTACCCCTTACTCATCGCTGCTGGTCATGCTGGTCGGAATGCCAAAAATATTTTGTACCATCACTGTCGAGATGGAGTGATGATTCCAGGTATGACCTCCCTCCCACCAGATCTGGATGGTCCTTCCGGTATTGGGCCAGAGATGTTTAATGGTGTGGGTCCGTACCACCAGCCCACCACCTCTTCCTCATCCACTGAACACAGCTTCATTCCCAGCATCAAGCTCCATCATGTCTCTTTGTCATCAGCCTCTCTCCTTGTACAGATTCCAAGGCCCTACAGCAAGATGTATATTCTAACACAATACAACCACACATATGTGTCTGATGTAATGAATCTGAAGAACAAGAAGGAGATGATTACCCTCAACAAGCTCAAGCCGCATACTAATTACACCTTCTGTGTAGCATCCATCCGCAACTCTCAGCGTTACAACCACACCTGCCTCCAGTTTTCCACTCGGGCTCAGAATCAAGATGACATGCTCCCCACACCTTCCACTACTACTCACTACATAATGACCATTGTGGGCTGCCTTTTTGGCATGCTCATTGTTTTAGGCTTTGTCTACTACTGTCTGCGTAAGAAACGGATGCATGATGAGAAGAAGAAGTCCATCTGCGTCAAGAAAACTATACTAGAAATGCGCTACGGACCAGAGGTGGCAGCAGCAGTGGCAAATGATCCATCTGCAGTCCACAAGCTCCAGGAGCAGTCCAGAGAACATCACCAGTATCAGCACCACCATGGAGGCAAACTTCCCATGTCCGCATCCTCTAGCTCGGGAATGCTCCACTCAGCCAACACCAGTTCCTCCAGACTTTCCTCTATTCCGCAAGTAGAAAAGATGGCCACTGCCTTTTCAGAGGCCATGGCTACAAGTAAAGGGAACTACATGGATATCAGAACTGGAGGGGCAGGGCTGGAGAGGATGGGAGATAGTGGACATGGTGGGCTAGACTTGAGGGACGATGATGGAACTGATATTGGGGATGACTCAGATGATGACGGACATGGCTCTGCATCAGAGATTTCCACCATTGCCATGGAGGTGGACAAGGTTAACCAGATCATTAACAACTGCATTGATGCACTGAAACTGGATGCAGCAGCAGTTGCTGCTTCAGGGGCCTCTACTAACCCTATATCCAGCTCCAATCCCACCTCCCCTCCTCCCACAAGCACGTCCTCTCTTACTCGTGGCCTAATCCCACTCTCCCAAGGGGTGACAGAGACGTGCCAAGTCATGGCTCCAAACAAAATACCCCCTCCGCCTCCACTCCCTGCCTTGAATACTCCTCTCTCTGAGCGCCCAGGGATCAGTGGTGGTGGCTTTGTCGTCACTCCCCCCTACAGGCCCCCTCCGCCCGCCACAGCTGTGCGTCCCATTCAGCGGCAAATGAGTGCCGATGCAGCTGTGGTTATTGTAAATTCTGTCAAGAAACAGTGCAGCACCACCTCTTGTGGCTCCATGGGTCGGGACAGGGATCGTGGAGGAGCTAGGGTGTATAGCCTGGATGTTCCTGAGCCACGGAGCCCAGATGCTTGTAATCAACAACAGCAGCAGTACCCAGACCGGGCCAGTCCCGTGGGCTGTGGGGAGCCCCTAGAAAGGCTGCCTTTAGTGGGGAGTGGGAGCTGTGGTGGAGGGGGTGGTGGTGGTTGCGACAGTGGTGGTGTTGGTGCCCAACATCAGGACAACCAGAAGCCACACCATTATCATCAACAGCAACAAATACAACAACAGCAACAGCAGCAGCAGCAGCTGGAGGTGCAGCAGGACTACCACTGCTCGGAGCACCGCCACTCCGTCCCAGCTCTATATTATGAAGGCTCCCACCAAGGCTCCCCAGCCCAGAGGGTTTCCTTCCTTAAGCCCCTGACACGCTCCCGCAGGGATGCAGCGTCTTACTCCCAGCTTTCGCCTGCCCGCCACCATTCCAGTTACTCTGGCTACTCCTCTAGCCCAGAGTACTCCTCAGAGAGCTCACTGCGGATCTGGGAGCGCTTTCGTCCCTATCGGAAAGGCCAGCGCGATGAAGCCTGTTACGTGACGGCTGGAAATGCCCTTAGAAAAAAGGTGCAGTTTGCTAAAGGCGAGGACCTGCATGACATCCTTGATTACTGGAAGGGGGTGTCGGCACAGCAGAAGCTGTGACTGGGGGACCAGAAATAGGCATTGTGGTAAGAAGAGTTTGGATGCTCCTTTTCCTGAATGGCCCATGGGCCAGAGGAACGATTTGAAGATCATGGGGAGAAAAATATAGGACAAAATTTTGCCTTTGGGTTTTTTTTGGCATGCTAGGTGTATAGAATTTTGTGCTAAAGCAAGGACTGTGAAACTGTGCCTGGGATATGAGAGTCATGGTGTTTTATTTTACACTTCATTGTAGCACCATTTCTGGATCATTCTCATTGAGTGTTTGTGGGTTTTATTTTTTCACACACGGAGCCAATGCCAACTGTGTAATTTAGTACTCTTTGAGTGATCATGTTTTGTGATCCTATGGACCATCTTTATCAGTGCCATGTTTTCATCTATGGGTAATCACAGAAGGTAAATGCTGATATCCTTCATTTTAAGCTTGTGGGATCCAAGATGTTGTTTCCTATTTGGTATTGGGTGCTGTATCAATTTGCAGATATGTTTAGACTTCTGAGTGAAGGCAGACTATGACAGGTGGGATCTGTGCTCTGATACAAGTGACAACATGCTGTTTAGTGAACAGATTTGTCAAATGCAGGCCCTATCCCCCTTCCTCGAGATCCTTCATGTGGCTGAGGTATTTGCATTTCAATAGCATCTGTCACACAGAAAGAGCAGAGAAATTGGAAACAAATTAACAATGTGAAAATAGTCCAGTCGGCTTGAAGGTCCTGCAGTATGAGGAAATCACGAGAGAAAGATTGTGTGGAACATAACACTCAAATAGTCCTTGGATTGCACCCTGAGGTGTTTCACATGTCCTTCCAACAAACACTCTTGCATGGCTCAATACGCGATGTAAGGAATGTTCCCCAGATGTCTCAAGCTTTCCTAAACGGCAGTTGCCCAAGTCATGATCATAATTGTTTGCGTAATTTCAAAGAGTACAGAGGGCAAAATGATGTCCCTTTATGAAGGTAATTAGATGCTACTTACCTGTGCAACAGGGAAATTTAACTATGTGACAGATGAGCTCATGCAATCCCTTTATAGAAAGACATGAGAGATGTGACCCACATGTGACAGAGACCAAGACAAACTGAAAGCGAGAGGGGGTATAAAAGAAAAAATAAAGGGAAGACAAGCAAAGATATAAATAATTTTCCGCAGCCACTGTGGATGTTAAGTAGATTTCTTGCAGGTTATGGGGAAATCTCTTTGCATCATTCAATGTGAGCACCACAGTACATTCCAAATCCTTTCTCCAACATTAAAACTGGATTGAGGCACAGAGGGAAAGGACATGTCTAATTACTGCCAACACGTCTGTTTTGTTCTGGGTCTATTGATAACTTAATTAGTCGACTTGTGACAGGCATGTTCGCTTGCACTTTACGCCTCATGATTGTGTGTGTGTGGACGTGTGGTACACAGTGGTCAGTGTAAGTGCGTGTTGGCATGCCTTGTCAGATTATATTCTATGTGTCCAAATTGACTTAAATTAATAGTTGTCACATCTTACCCATTGGCTGTTCGTCTAAGTCTAAACAATATTAGATAATTAATGGCATGGACAAATGTACAAATGTGTTCATTGTATTTTCCCAGACATCCATCACATGATCGTGATGCTCAGATATACACACAGTAGCGCAGTGCCTCTTGCTAACACAGCCATAATCTAATCTCCATTCTTGTATAGTATTATCCATCCACCTGGCCTTTGCTATTGAAATGATGTGATTCTCCTCAATGATAGTGTTATTGCCTGGCATTCTGACAAAAGGCATCCTGCTTACCCAAAGTGCTGTGTAGCCTTTGCTTTTTTTTTTTTTTTTTTTTTGCCATTATCAGCAAACATACACAGTTTGAGACATTCTACCCTAAAAATGTGAAAACTGAATCAGTGGTCCTTGCTCCACATTTTTGTTCAGGGCTATATTCAAGAGGAAAAAAAGTTACACAGACAAGTTTAATCTTAGCAACAGTTTTCTCTCTCCTTTGATCCTCATGTCTTCACTAAATGATGTTCATTTGTCCCACCTCCCACTACTTTCACTGCCCCCGCAGGTTTGATGGGCTATGGGTTTGGCATGAGACATGTCTTGTTGTGTTTTATTAAAAGAGAAATGTGAGAAATAGCCTTTATTGCAGGTAGGACTTGGGTCTGCACAACACATCTCAACACTGCTTTTCTTCTTTTTTTAGAGTGGTCGATTTTTTTTTAGCACATGCTTGACTCCTTTGAATAAAAGCAGGTTAAATAGGACTGAATATGCAACTACGAGAGGGTGGTTTGTAATAGTATTTCCATATTGATCTGTGTATTTCTTCCTCCCTCTTTGTTTTCATGAAACGTCTATCTCTGTCTCATTTTCCTTGTTTTATTAAGCTGTATGCATACAGTCAGGGTCAGAGGTCTTTAACCTTGGAGTCAGTGTTGTGCTGTGAGTGTTTATGATTGATCGGACCGCATAAATTCAAGAGCCTCAATGTTGTCTTTTAGTACTAGCGTGTTTGGGACGCACCACCTCATCCGCCTTCTTTATACGATAAAGCACCATGTGATGAACATACAGTCTTGGAAATGTCTGCCACTAATCTCCTATTATGTGAGATAAGAAAGTTTCCAAAGGAACTTGTTACTGTGATTGACTCAGACAAATCAGACGAAAGGATTTTCTTTGCTGGTACGTTCCAAGAGTACCTAATCACACAGAAGGAACATGGCGCGTTTAACTCCCCAGATCCTCAACTGCCATAAGTTTACAGAAATGGACACTGAGGATAAGTGTAAATGTTCAGTAATATCAGGATTGCTCCTCATTTCAGCTGCCATTTATGTTCATCTAACAGACGAGATGTAATGTGACAGAAAATCCTGATTATTACTGTTTTCATGGATGATTTTTAATTTCATACATTTTCTATTTTAATTAACATATTTAATGCACCAATGTATTTTTCAGGAAAAAAAAGAGATTTTCAGGGTGGACAGATGTTTGTTCAAGTGCTCTTCTGCTCAGATTTCATTCAAACGTTTGTTTGAATAAGCCTCTGTAATGATACAGCATTACTGGCCCAACAGACAACATTGTCAATGCTGGTGGGAGAAGTGCCAATCTGTCTAATGATTTATAAACAGTGTTTTCACCATAGCTCAAATGAGTGCTATTGTTGGAGGGGAAATTGTGTTTCCCATCATTAATAATAACTTGAAAGCCTGCTGCCAAAACAACCACAAAAGAGTCATGGCAAAGTGGAAATGAAGACATGGAATTCAAAACTGATGAACAAGTCCTTCTATAAGTCAGCCCGAAACAGTCAAAACAGGTACAAGTATGAACAAAAGATGCTGAGAATTTTTTCCAAAGTGGACTTCCGAATAAACCTCTGCTCTTTATTATTGCTTGTTCCCCTCAAGCAAAGCAATCACTGGTGGTTTAGACATAACAGTTGTGTTAATTGGCCTTGGAGGTTAAGCAGGTAGTTAATGAAGTTTTACAGTTCTGTTGTGGTTATGTGAGAAGTTTATATCTATAATTGTCACTCTACAGGATTGTAGATTCCCATAAAACAGAGTAGACTCTCGGGTAATAGCCAGTTCAAATAACTTACCAGCTGAATTATTAAAATCTCAACCAGGACCACAAATATTTCTCAAAACATTTGGCATGCTAGTGTACCTGTTTTTTGTCCCACAAAGCCAGCATCAAACAAAAAAACCCTTCTTTTCCTTTTCAGCTCATATCCTCACTGAACCCCTGGAGGGTGTTTCACTCGGAGATCAATGGTCCTTTTTGTAGCACCGTCCTTGTTGTTTGTCTCAGAGCCACAGGAAAGCCAGACGTGAGAAAGCCATCTAATGTGCTATTAATGTTTAATCCTTTTTGTGGGAGGCTGGCTCGGGTTGCTTCCCCTATCTGCGTATACCGCCACAAAATCACAGATGCTTTCAGTTTCTAGCATGTTAATCCTTTGATGCTCTCTTATATTTAAAAGCCTGGCCCAATTAAACTGAAGTTTCTTAAATAATGAATCAGAGCCCAAAATGGGGTGTGGGTTTATGTCTAATCAGTTTCTAAATTACTAAAGGAGTTAAATGCATCCATTAGTGGAGACCACAGTAAAAGGTCCCAATCCTCCCGTGACACAGTGCACTTTTTTACTCGTGTGATCTGTCATTGAAGCAGTCCCAGTCAAAGTGAGACATTACTTTTATGAGCAATCATCATCATTTAAGGGTCATCTCAGGATTCACTTCTCAAGATAGTCCTGTGCGTGATCATTTACTAGATAATTTTCTTACATGGAAGATGGAAAACATGCTCAAACCTATAGATATAAAATCTGTGAATAAGCAAAACTGCGTCCTCTAACCAGCCCTATTATAGAGTAGATTGCATTGCACATTATTTTTGAATCCCATAATAGAGAAACAATATTGAAATGTTTAAACTAAGAGCAGTGGACTGGAAGATCAAGACCCAAAGAGAGGTCACAAAGACTGATATAGGCAGTGAGAGATATATGTAAATAATTGATTAATGTTAAGTAATTAAAAAACACATTTTGAATAACCTATGTTGTCTTGATCACGCCAGCGGCAAAATTACTTTTTCCATGGTTTTTATTATGTGACATATTCAACTTGTTCTTTCTCCCAACTCGTCAAATACGACAGCTTTGTAAGTGGCGCTATGCTTCAAGCTATGACAGTCTGGTACCTCTTTAGCATCAATTTTGGATGCTCAGAGAAGGCGTGTCAATGTCTGCTCCTTAAATACAATGATATCCTTTCAAAATAAACCTCCATGTCCACAGGAAATGTAGGTTTTGGCAACTACTATAGAAGAGGCCGATAAACAACTTGTTAGGTTTAGAAAAAAGATCATTGTTTAGGTTAAAAGAAAGACGTTTGTTACATAACTTCACTTTTGTAAGTAAGTTAACAAGTATGCCACATAACATATGTAGTCTGACTCACCAGATGTAGACTGTGGCTATAAGCCTGCCATTGGCTGACTATTTAGACCAGCATTCTCACCCCCTTCTGCTATCTGCATGTTACCGTTTTCAAACCCCCTACATTACGGGAAACAACAACAACCTTTAAGCTAACAACATACACGCTGAAAATGGCAAGTTTTGACAAAGATTTTGGTCATGCAATAAGGCATGCCTGCTTTGTTTTTTTGTGAATTACTGTAAAGGTCTAGAACAAATAAAACAATTTGTGAACTCAGAAAAGCTCAGACGTTGACTTGCGGGACTCTCAAGCCTGATGCCGATTCATTTCTCACAACCTATACAGTCTGTAGTGTGGTAAAGTAGAGTGTATTTGACAAAGTTGCCAGTTAATTATGTCGAGGTGCCACCAGAAAGTTCACAAGTATGGCTATATATTACACGCCAGTCCCACATTATGGGTATCAAAAAAAGTACTCCACTGGTATTGGTATCACTCTAAGAATACTGGTATTGGTATCTAATTTTTTAAATGCTACCCAGCCCAATCTGTGACTGTTTTTTGTGGCCTTACTTGCCTCCTGACATGCAAATGTTCCAATGAAACAAGTTCCCTCCCGACGGTATTTTGCAAGGACACCACGGCATCCTGGGCTTGGTGTCACCCAAGACGATTCTGATTGGTTTAAAGAAATAGAAAATGAGCCATAGGATTTTTTTCCCCCTATAGCAGAATGATACTGTGTGCTTACAGACCCTTCTCTAGCGCTGGTCTGGCTATGCAATGCTATGACTTATGAGATGTGACACATGTCACGTGATGATAATTCCATCACAGTTTTGAAAAAACTCAATGTTAACTTTTGGTTTATGATGGAACACAAACAGCTGTATCCTGGGTGGAAGTCCTGTGTTTGTTTGACTTACCCACCATTGTTTCCTCCCACCCTACATGGACTTTCTCACTTTTTAAACTATGTCATTGTCACAGATGGGTTTACATTGGAGTTAGCTGAAAGCCCCATGCATCTCTAAAATGCTAAATACTACAAAATACTAAAATAGTGCATTGGTATCTTATGCTTTGACACCCTGGGGACCTGGGGATAACGAGAACGAGTTGGCATATTGGAGTGATTTTGAAATATTTTTCTTGCTCTAACCCCCATTGCCTTACACACACACACACACACACACACACACACACACACACATACACACGCACGCACACAACAAGAGTAGCCGGCAAAAATGGAAAATAAAGAAGTGACTCAGAATGAGTCACAGTTTGACTAAACTAAAATGACTTTTTTCCTGAAAGGCAGGTAATGGGCAAGGTCTTCAAAGAGAGGAGAGCAACGTGAGAGGGATTTTTGTCTGAAAGCAGGCGGGCATCTGGGATAAAAGATGTGGAAGCAGCATGGCTACACTAAAACTTATCATGCATGATTCAGTGCGCTGCTGCAAATGAACCATAACACACACATACACACACACACACACACACACCTAACAGAAGCGTATTGTGGGAGTAATTCTTAAAAAAATATTCAGAAACTTCAGCATTTCTGACAAGTGAAGGCAGCCCTCTTTGAAAGCCTTAAGGAGGACAGCTTCATTTCCACTTAATTTTAAGGCAGGTGACAGGCAAGTATTAACACTGACAGTGGGTTGCAAATCCTTTCATTTGGTATCTTTAGACCTTTTGTCTAATAGTCTATTAAGTCCATTAGCTTTCTGTGTGGGAGATTAGCCTGTGTGGATAATGTGCCAAATTTGACAAATGGGAAACTACACTGTCTGTCCCCTCATGATAGCCATAGAAGGCATAATGTGATAAAAAAAAATTAAACGCATGCCATTTTTTAATGTCCCACTAATGTGAAATTGTATTTATCTAAAGAATGAAAAAGGAAGTCAGTTGAGACAAATGAAATATGTCTTGGTGTGACTGATTTCTTGGTCACTCTTTTATGAGGCAGCTCAGACGGGCTGAGTGCTGCCAACGCTGCCTTTTCAACTGCCAAGCACTCTAAATAAGAGTTTGAAGAAATCTGAAGATGAATAGCCTTGTATGTTTATGCTGAAAGCATTCCCTGACAACTAAAAGTCATCATCAGAATGTAGCAGACTATGCATGTTCATGTATTTTTATGTAGGTCTCTAGTTTAAAGGAAAAAATGCTGCTGTGAACAGTGCCGGACCTAGCACATTCGATACCACCCCTATATTATCCATTGTTCTTTTAAATTTACTGAACAAGACCAAGAGCTAATGACAAATCAGCACAAATAAACAACTTAGCCAACAATAAAAATAAATAACAAACACTGATCATCAGATCTTTGGATCATTTTCCCCTTATGTTTGATTTTTTTTCACCTATTTCGAAGATCTGCCACTAACGCTGAAATAAAATTATACCTGCAAGCTCAAAAATAAGCACAGGGATGGATTTTGAATTTGAATTTCTTGATGAGCTTTTCTGAGCTGGAAAAGAAGTTTGAGAACCTGTGGTTATTCTAAATTATAGGTTTTACGGAGCAGAAGAGCATTTGAAAATTTCTCAGTAAGCCACATTGGGCTAAGGTTTGCATCCTGATTGGACCCTGTTTTTTCAACACTTTTTACACACACACACACACACACACACACACACACACACACACACACGGACTACAAAATATTTACACTTATGCATTAACTCTGCAAGGTTTAGTTTCCAAAGACGGACAAAGGACTTAAAGAATCTGTGAAATATCTGTGAATTTTGTACACTAGATAAAAGAAAAAAAATGCTAAGGTTTAAAAAAAAATGCTTCTATGGATGTTTTATACTCAGCCTGATCTCTTGATATGTCTGTGTGTTTCTCTATTTCAGTTGGCTGTTTGTCTTTGTTTACTTTGTTTAGGGTTTTTTTTCTGGTGGGTGGGGGGGTTTGGGTATCGGGAACCACGGGATTGACTTTTAGTACTTGCAATGATATATGTTATAAAGGTTTAAGAACAGAGAAAGCTTAACATAGTGTACTACATAAAAGAAAAGTTGTTATATTTGCATGACTCCCTGTATTTTTTGAGCGACAAAAATATATTGTTGTGTACAATGAGTGGACGTACATTGAAAACAAAAACTGTAGGGGCTGAAATATTGTCAAGTACCTTTGGTTTGAACATTTAGGTTTTAGCTGTTTATTTTTTTTTAAACTCTCTGTGACATTTTCTATTTACATTCTATTGGTTTTCATTTGGGTGACTGTATTATATACCGACACTGCAGTTACCATTACTACTCTTTGAGCCACAGGCTGGTGGAGTGTGCAGAGCAAAGAGGGGATAAAAAAAAAAAAAGTCTGAGGCTGGTGGGTGTTTACATGCATCTGTTATGAGAAACTGCACTCAGTTCTTCTCCATTACAAAGATTATTCTCCATGGCACACATGCAAAGACATCGTCTTTGGCTTGAGGCGAGGCCCTGTCACAGTTTGTGGTTGTATTTTCTCTTAACTCAGCCGTCTTCTATATGGAAAAAAGAAAACTGTTCAAGTTTTTCCAGTTAAAGACATAATAAATGACAATATATGTACAAAGAATAGTGAGTGACGCAAGCACACACACACACACACACACACACACACACACACTGTGGATTGTCTAATGGTTTTAACCTAATCCCAATCCATCAGTTAGAAGTCACAGGCAAATCAATGCAACATCAGCAGCTTCTCTTTCAGCCTCAGCCCACTTGCTGTTAGCTAAATCAGTGATCTTCATTCCTCATCCTCTGCTCTCAGAGCCTGCTGGTGTTCTATCCAACTAGTTAATTGAATTCATCTTATATCCAGCCTGTTGTGAACCAGGCTTTTATCATTGGTCTTTTATTATACACTGTATTATACAGTCTGTCCTCTGCTGAATAGCTTTTAGTGTGCACAGAAAAGACTGTATCTTGACCTGATGCAAAGAGAATAGATAGCTGTGCTGCTGTAGAGACTAAAACTATATGTTAAAAACTGAAGTCCTTATGACATGAATACAGTCAAAAGACGATCATTTATATTCCACAGCACTCAAAAACATTTTAGTTTTTAGATAAATAAAATTTAAATGAACGAGTATGACCACAGAGAGAAACAAATTAAGTATAATTGGTTTCCGTGGACAGAGTAGAGTCTTTAAAGGAGGCAGAGGCTTGAGTACATTTCATTTGGCACCAACCCAATAATGCGTTGGTAACACCTTCAGTACTGCAGCTCTGCTGATACATTACTTATTGCATTAGGGTCAGTGCAATGACAGCAAGTCATAAGTCATAGCCGTGTTTACATTCTGCAGTGATAAAACAGGACCCCCCAGCTGAGATGTATAGCCCTACTCTGTGGCAAAGCCTTTGCCAAACCCTAAAGAGGCCTCCCCACGCCAATTATAAAGACAAAATGAAATGCATTAACCTGAGGCTGAGTCTTCCCCTCAGCTTGTCAATATGGCAATGCTATATTATAGCATTAGCCAGTTTGTAGAGTCATGTTTTAATTGGGTAAAATTGCACTTAAATTTGATAAGGCAGTTTTATTGGTACTGGAGGCTAATCTGTAACTCAGAGCTTCCATTTTTCTGATGCCAGATCCAGAGTGGCGAAACTTGCTAAAAGGTCCAATTGCAGTGAGAGCAGACGCAGTTCAGTGTCAGAAGCCCATCAGTCTGATCAATGTTTATGTTTTCCACGCTCGTGAATAGAAGAGGCTGGGCACCCATTGCTATTCCAAACACACAATCCAGTGCTGTGGTACTCCCAAAGCCAGAATGATTGGCCTTGTCAGTGCCAGAGATTGAAAAACTCTGCAGCTTCCAAAAATGGCTGTCAGTTCAGAGAGGGAAGGCAGGGGAGAGGGGCCATCCTTGACTCATTGAGGAAATTGAATGTCTGTGGATTGATCGGTTCAAAAGCTTATAGTGTCTTGGCCTTGCAGCAACCATGCACACGATGCAGAAACATGTACTGTTAAATAGACATGTTGTAGAACTCTGAGCCTAAATCAAACTATTATTCGTTAAGGATTAGGGATCCCCAAACCTGCTCCGTCAGTCATCAGTATTTTGACATCTGCTGAGCTCTAATTCCTCTGAGCTTAGGGATCGAACTTCACACATGTCGTGGCACAATGTGACATGCCATAAGCTTCAGGACATATTTGAGAAAAGTACAGTGCAGATTTTAAATATACAATGTTTCAGTGGTTGAACATTGCATTTCTTTTGCTGTAGTGACATATTTTATGTTCTTTTTTTAGTGACATATCCTTTTCCCTTTGCAAATGCATTTTTTTTTCATTTTTTTTCCAACTCAAAGAACTGAGTAGAGACAATTCACTGTCTTGCAGATTGCATCATCTGAAAATAAGTATAAGTAGTATGAATAGCCCCTTAAAAATAACAACACAACCATTTTATAAACAGTATAATCGCTAAAGTGCTAAAGTATAACCACCATCTCTGTGATCCCTTCAAGGCCAAGGGCCAAAGCTAATTCTCACATCAATATTTTAGTTCCTATTCGGCTATTTATGTAACATTTGTGTCAATTAGGGTTCTTGCCAAGTTGACAGTATCAGGGGGTCTTTTGGTCTTAAAATCAAGAGGCTGTCACTGTATCAAATCAAAAGGCCCATGGTCATATTCTATTCAAATCTAATGTGACTCTCCCCTCTGGTTTCAGCTCTACACACTAATGTTTGGAGACCAAAAGGGAAAGACAAAACAAAGGTTTGGATGATGGGAACAATTCTTGGCTTTTTTCTTTCTTTAATTATTTGTTGCTGATATTGACATTTTTTCCCTTTGCGATTTCTGTACAAAAGATCTATTTCTATATTTGCAATAAATTTGTAATGAAAAAAAAAAACATGTACAAGATCTCTTTGATTCACTGGAGTAGTTTTTTTATTATAAATAATTAAGTTGTCACTTGTGATTCATTGGTTTACCAAGACATGCTGACATGTAATACAGCACTGCCATTGAAAATGTGCGTGTGTGTGTGTGTGTGTATGTGTATTCTTATACTTGCTACATAGTGAGGACCGAAACACATTTTTAACCAACAGAATGAGGACATTTTTGCAAAGTGAGGACATTTTGGCATGTCCTCACTTCTCTAAAGGGCCTGTTCAAGGTTTAAGACTTTGTTTTAAGGTTGAGGGTAGAATTAGGTTTGGGTTAGGGTTGGGTTTAGACATTTAGTTATAATGGTAAGGGTTACGGTGAAGGGCTAGGGAATGCATAATCTCAACTACGGTCCTCACAAAGATAGCAGCGTGTGTGTGTGTGTGTGTGTGTGTGCTTGTGTGGGGTGTGCACTACTATTTAGTATATCCTATATGCTATATGTGCTACTCCACCCTTGACTGGGTCCTTTAATTCTATTGTTCATGCACTGAGGGCTGCAAAGCACCTGGACTGTCTATTGTGAGAGATTATGGGATTTCCCTTTCCAACACACGCGCACGCCCACACACCCACACAAACACATACACGCACACACACACCACTGGCCACTTGTACACTCCATTAAAACCTCTCAGTGTTTTGAGGGCTCTGGTACACAGGCACAGATGGGTACTCGAAGAGGAGGAAAAAAATTGAAACTTGATGACTCATGAAAATGACAAATACGTCCACCTCAGTCACGGTTCCGTAGAGACTCAAATGTTTAAGTCTAGTGTGAACAAACGCTTTGCTGAACATACAAATTTAATGAGTAGGATGACAGAGAACAAACGGGGAGATTTCTGAACCTGAAGGCAGAGAGGGCCGGGGCTCTGGGCTTTGCTGGTAGCATTCAAACTGCTGGTTGGACATGTTTTGACAACAGAGGAATCGTTTGGGATTCACTCACTGTGTTATGCAATGTGGTTGTAAAATTAATGTACAAAGGAAGTAAACAGTAACACACAAAATTGAGAGTTTTGGTGGAAACAAGGATATTCGAAACCACATAGCGAATTAAAGTGTACACACATGCAAACTCCGCACAGAAGGGCTCCCACGCCCGGGATCGAACTGGCAACCCTCTTGCTGTGAGAGTGTGACAGTGCTAACCACCACACCACCGTGCCGCCCAAGATTAGGATTGGTAGAGTTAATGTTCCACCATACTCTTGGCTCATATTAGCAGTTAACCATCCATTCCCATAGTTAGCCAAACCTAAAACCAGATGAGCACAACATTACAAAGTAATGATGACATCAAACAACTCTGCATAACTGTTTTCTCTTTTTCTTCTGGCACCCACCTGCAGAAATTCTCAGCACAGGCTCACTAAACCCTTTGGAAGGAAACATCACAAATCTTGCCGCTCTTCACAAATTATCAGACATATTGCGTGACAGCCTAAAATCCATGTTATCTTAGAGTCTGTTCACCATGCTGCCTCCACCTTCTGTTAGCAAAAAGGGACTGGTGGGATTTGTGCATGATTCAGTGCTGACCCGTTCTGATGTGCCTGACAGTCTATCCAGCATGTTACAGACTGTGGCATCAGTTACAGCAAACTCCACTACACAGGATGGAGAGCAGAGAATGGTGGCTCCCACTCTGGGAACCTGTTACCCAGGGTTAAAGTGTTATTCATGTCTGTGTGTCGTGAGGGGAAGTGTAGTCATTTGACTTTGCCCCATCTAAAGGGAAACCATTGTGAAAAATAACTACTATACTGTTGTAACTTTAGTTCTATGATTGGAGGTTCAATCACACTGCTATTCCTCTACAGTCCATTAAGACTTTAATAGGGGAGCCCAACTGTGATTCAGTGGATGTGATCAGTTGAGATAAGTCCTCCTGCTGATTCTGCTCTGTACTCTGCTCAATGTAGTTTTCAATGAGAAATCTGGTTAACCCAGCCAATGAGCTAGATGCTAATGAAGGAACACTTTCAAGAGTGCATATCCAAATGAATTATGGTGTGGAAAATGTACCTTACACTTTCCCATAAGAGCTGCTCCAAACAAAAAAGTACTGTAACTTTATCTTTATAATACAGTATTAAATATGACTTCATAAAAACCATGTGTAAAGCCACCATGATGTCACCCATTGGTTTGTGGACTACTGATCCGAAGCCTTAAGGTTGGCATTTTGGCCATCGCTATCTTGGGTTTTTTGGCGGCAAAAGTGACCGTATTTGGACAAGAGGGTGGAGCTGTAAAGGAGCAAGCTGTAGATCTGACTCATACATGTATAAAGAGAACTGGATACAACATGGCCGCGGGGCCCTGTCCATTTCTTTGAAAGCTGCTCAGTGGCACATGAAGCCAAAAAACGTTCAGCATATAAAATTACCGGGATGACCAGCACTGCATCAATGCAATGTGCGGCCCATGCCGACCGAGCCAGCTACCTCCTGTTTAGCACTCTGTGTACTTGAATAGGAAAAAATGATTCAATCATGCAGTTCTTCTAGACTTTCCAAATGTCATCAAACCAATCAAATTCTCATAGTTAAACAAATCATTGCATGGGGGTTTTGATGTAAAAAAAAATTAAAAATTTATCTTAACTTAAAATTATCACTTATTTACATAGGTCTCATTTGCCATGTAAGTCTCTGGGAAAGTCTTTTTGGGTCAACGGGCATCATATGGCAAATGTTTTCCACTGTTTGGCCACTACAAAAATTGGCTTCAAAACCTGGCCAACTTCCTTGGGTGTGACTGATGTGACTGAAAATCTGAGGACACTGCCGTTGGTAGCAACTTGTCAGTCAGGAGGAAGTCACGCCTTAAAGCCTAGTATACACTGTGCGATTTTGGGTTGTCCCAGACATGACCATCGTAAAAGAAATGTGGCACTATCTTTGGTCATGGCTCTAAAACGGTGGTCCTAATTTGCAGGGATGGCTATTGTCACAGTCTTGCAATCAAAGACAACCTCAGATAAAATTCTGACAGACCTACAGTACAGGCCAAAAGTTTGGACACACCTTCTCATTCAATGCGTTTTCTTTATTTTCATGACTATTTACATTGTAGATTCTCACTGAAGGCATCAAAACTATGAATGAACACATGTGGAGTTATGTACTTAACAAAAAAAGGTGAAATAACTGAAAACATGTTTTATATTCTAGTTTCTTCAAAATAGCCACCCTTTGCTCTGATTACTGCTTTGCACACTCTTGGCATTCTCTCCATGAGCTTCAAGAGGTAGTCACCTGAAATGGTTTTCCAACAGTCTTGAAGGAGTTCCCAGAGGTGTTTAGCACTTGTTGGCCCCTTTGCCTTCACTCTGGGGTCCAGCTCACCCCAAACCGTCTCGATTGGGTTCAGGTCCGGTGACTGTGGAGGCCAGGTCATCTGCCGCAGCACTCCATCACTCTCCTTCTTGGTCAAATAGCCCTTACACAGCCTGGAGGTGTGTTTGGGGTCATTGTCCTGTTGAAAAATAAATGATCGTCCAACTAAACGCAAACCAGATGGGATGGCATGTCGCTGCAGGATGCTGTGGTAGCCATGCTGGTTCAGTGTGCCTTCAATTTTGAATAAATCCCCAACAGTGTCACCAGCAAAACACCCCCACACCATCACACCTCCTCCTCCATGCTTCACAGTGGGAACCAGGCATGTGGAATCCATCCGTTCACCTTTTCTGCGTCTCACAAAGACACGACGGTTGGAACCAAAGATCTCAAATTTGGACTCATCAGACCAAAGCACAGATTTCCACTGGTCTAATGTCCATTCCTTGTGTTTCTTGGCCCAAACAAATCTCTTCAGCTTGTTGCCTCTCCTTAGCAGTGGTTTCCTAGCAGCTATTTGACCATGAAGGCCTGATTCGCGCAGTCTCCTCTTAACAGTTGTTCTAGAGATGGGTCTGCTGCTAGAACTCTGTGTGGCATTCATCTGGTCTCTGATCTGAGCTGCTGTTAACTTGCCATTTCTGAGGCTGGTGACTCGGATGAACTTATCCTCAGAAGCAGAGGTGACTCTTGGTCTTCCTTTCCTGGGTCGGTCCTCATGTGTGCCAGTTTCGTTGTAGCGCTTGATGGTTTTTGCGACTCCACTTGGGGACACATTTAAAGTTTTTGCAATTTTCCGGACTGACTGACCTTCATTTCTTAAAGTAATGATGGCCACTTGTTTTTCTTTAGTTAGCTGATTGGTTCTTGCCATAATATGAATTTTAACAGTTGTCCAATAGGGCTGTCGGCTGTGTATTAACCTGACTTCTGCACAACACAACTGATGGTCCCAACCCCATTGATAAAGCAAGAAATTCCACTAATTAACCCTGATAAGGCACACCTGTGAAGTGGAAACCATTTCAGGTGACTACCTCTTGAAGCTCATGGAGAGAATGCCAAGAGTGTGCAAAGCAGTAATCAGAGCAAAGGGTGGCTATTTTGAAGAAACTAGAATATAAAACATGTTTTCAGTTATTTCACCTTTTTTTGTTAAGTACATAACTCCACATGTGTTCATTCATAGTTTTGATGCCTTCAGTGAGAATCTACAATGTAAATAGTCATGAAAATAAAGAAAACGCATTGAATGAGAAGGTGTGTCCAAACTTTTGGCCTGTACTGTACGTCTACAAAGCAACCAACAGAAATGCAGCATGAAATGAGGCACTGCTGCTAAACCCAAACAAACAGATGGATAGCAGCTCGCCACGGAGGCAAAATGCGCTAAAAGAAATGTATAGGATTCCCACACAGTGGAAAACCTTGTTGAGTTGGGCAGCAGAAGCCTTGCCTGTATGATGTGTCCTCCAGTGCTTTACGTGATCGGGTAAAGAAGGACGAAGCATGGAAGGTGAGCAAGTATACACCGCAGTATACAATGCCCACAAAACTTTGGGTTATTTGATAATGTGACCCTCTATGTTGTGCCTCACAGT